TTGGCTGAAAAATTGATCAATTGATGTGTTTGCTACTGGTATCTCAAATTCTACCTGCAGAAAGTAAGCCTAGCAAGCTTTGCAAGTTTTTAATGTGGATTATTTATCTAGGAAATAAAATCGGGCATTGCATTATGAACTGGGAACTATACATGGCCCTGGGGTAGGTATTGGGTAACACAGAGGTAAGTGACATTTGTCCTGACCACAAACGGCTTACATTCCCTGAGGCCCCTTCCACTGGAAGGAATATGTACCCGTACTATAAACTTGATGAAAAGCCTATGCCTGGGAACTCATGGGCCCCACAAGGAAATCTGCTATTGATACTTTGTTAAACAGACATGTAGTTAAACTACCTTCTAACTTATATTAGTATCCTTAGACCTGTGTATCTCTCAACTATAGAGAAGTTTCTGTTGGCAGTGGACGATGGTCAACACAGAGACTCATAACTGGTCAAAGCATGGAGAGCAAAGGACTCCTGAGTGATCACCCCTAGATGCGACATCTATGTCACCTACTCTGAGGCCCAGGGGGAATCACCAAAAACGGGAGGTTTCCACTGTGAGCACCAGGTAACAGGAGGGAATACTATACAATGTATAAGATGCTGCCTTCTGGACATGGTGTGGCCACTGCCATCATGGAAACATAGAAGCTGTTATCACCTGCATAATACCTGTACTTACACACATACACACACACACACACACACACACACACATCATACAAAAGTAGGAGGGGTCTAACAGACTATGGGAGAGATGAAGAGTATCAACAGAAGTGGGAGGGAGAGAAGAAAAGGAATGGGGGGGTAGATGTCATCACAGTACGCTACATGCAAGGATGAAACCATGAAAAACAAAAACCTGATTGAAAGCAAAAGAAAACAAACACAACCCAGAATCTTACAGCCTAAGATGAAGAGAGCATCAGCAGGACCTGGAATGTTCTTCCTTCGGAAGTATCCTTTACTAAAATGCAAATGCCTCTGGTCAGATAATCATTTTAGCCTCCTCTGTTGTCAGACTCTAGGAAAGGAGAGAAGTTGGTGTCAGGTAAGTCTGAAGCAGTCCAGATCCTATATGTTCTCCTAGAGACTCAATGCCGCACATTAGCATAAAAAAGGCTCTGAGAAGTCTTGCAAGAAATTATCTTATGTGTTTGCTCAGTGTAGCATTTTCAAAATTCACTCAGGCATTGGCTATTTTCCACCAGAGAATAGCAATTAACCTGTAGAAAATGCATTTTTGGAAATGCTGTTCTAAGCCTTGCGGTGGCTAAACAGCAGTGCTACCCCAATAAAGTGACAGAGGAGTCCTTCAGGAAAGAAGAAGTGCAAAAGAAAACCTGGGGAGGGGAGGGAGAGGAACAACTTGGCCATTTACGTGAATAAATAGTCACAGTGCAGCTGCTTCATGCTCAGTTCCCTGAGCCGGTCACATCCTGGCCTAACCCTGTCACCAGGATGGATGGAAGGTGGTCAAACAGCTGGAGAACTTTGTCCAAACCTTACTCTTCTGTCCTGGAATACTGGAGGCCTGGAATTAAGAATGTGTTATCCCTTTACACATACACACACATTCACCCTGATTCTATTTTAAAAATATGTAATCCACAGGAGCTGGAATGATGTTGGCTCAGTAGTTGGATGCTCTTCCAGAGGACCTGGGTTCAATGCCCAGCACCCAACTTCAGTTCCAGAGGATCCCATGTCCTCTTCCGGACTCTACAAGTATGAAGCACTTATGTAGTATACAGACATTCAAGCAAACATGTACATAAAATATAGTACTAGAAAGAAATAATATTCAATCTTTCATGTAGATATTCTAGAAGCTTCTAGCATACTGTAGCTTACTTTCCTTGTTAAGACTAAAATGATAGTTTTCAACTTACATATTTTTGTCTCACAAATGTTTTCCAATGAAAACAAGAACTTGGACAATTTGGACCACAATTTGAGCAATCAGACACAGAGGCCCACAGTTGGTAACTTCGGCAACATGAACAGGTGTTGATTTTCATTGATGAAGCCAAAAAAAAATCTTTTAAAAATTATTCTTAGATACAGTAAAGCCAGGGAAGAAGAAGTGTTTCAAATAGTTTGAAAGGACAAGTGACATCAAACCTGAGAGTGGGTAGTCTTCCTTTGATGATAGTCTGTTCAAAAGTTAAGTTAGGCTAGTTAGAGGGAGAGTCCAGACTACATAGTAAAGAAGTGTTTTTAACTCCTAGGAGATATTTCTGAAAGTGTGTGTGTGTGTGTGTGTGTGTATGTGTGTGTATGCACACACACGCGCATATATGTTCTGAAGTGACAGAAATGCTGGTGGAAAGAAGACAGGGAACATTTTAAAGAAACACCTAATAGACTTTCCATCAAGCTCATGCTTTTGAGCCTGAGTAAATCCACACCTTGGTATTCCCATAATATTTTTCTGTTATATTCCAAAATGTTGAGTAATGCTACTCAATTATGAAAATAGAATGAATTTTTAAACCCTTAAAGACCATGTATTGCATTTTTAGAAATAAAATTATTAAAATGAGAGACAGTCCTGATGAGCAAATACAAACAGTCTCTTAAATAAGGCTTGAGTTCTTCTACTGAAGAAAATAGCTATAGTCACTGAGTGTTTGCTATGGTTCAAGCAGCTTGCTTAATCTCTAAGTTATTTTGCTATATTATAATCCTTTTTGCAAGGAAAAAGATAGTGGAAAGGGTCGGGATTCTTAGAGCAAACCATACAACCACTCCAGGCATTACTGACTTAGAAATACTATCAGCCATTAGACAATACGTCCCTACTTAAGTGAGCACATAGTATACACAGGATATTATGTCTGGCAATTAATCCCTTGCATAGTTGCTCTTAATCTCATTAAATCATAAGATTTATTTATTAGCTTTTATTGTTTTGACTTTTTTTTTTTGGTTTTTCGAGACAGGGTTTCTCTGTGGCTTTGGAGGCTGTCCTGGAACTCGCTTGGTAGTCCAGGCTGGTCTCGAACTTACAGAGATCCGCCTGCCTCTGCTTCCCGAGTGCTGGGATTAAAGGCATGTGCTACCATGTTTTGACTTTTTTAATCAAAGTATTGCTAGTAACTATCCAACTTGCTCTAAAGCTCTCTGTGTAGACCAAACTGGCTCTAAATTTGTGGCAAATCCTTCTTGCCTCTGCTTCCTGAGTGCCCAGATTGCAAGCATGCCCAGATCTGTCCTTGTTTTTAAGTGACACATAAAACTGCATATACTCATGCGGCATATAAAACATGATGTTTTAACACATTTATATAACATGAAATGATCAATTAGAACAATGATTCTCAACCTTCCTAATGCTGTGACTCTTTAATACAGTTCCTCATGTTGTAGTGAACCCCCAATTATAAAATTATTTTTGTAGATACTTCATAAATGTAATTTTGCTACTGTTGTGAGTCATGATGTAAATATTTTTGGCTTAGAGAGGTTTGCCAAAAGGGTCTTGACCCACCAGTTGAGAACTGATGAGTTAAAACAATGGCATATCAACTCAAATATTTATCACTTTTTTGTGTGTATCGATATTGTCCCAAGTCCTCTCCAATAACTAATTTCAGATGTATAGTATTGTTGTCAGCCTTGATGTTACCCCACTGTGCTAAAGTATATTGAAAATGTTTCTACTATGCAAAATGTTTGTAGAACACTGGAGCCAATAGCAACTTACAGCAAAAAGAGTTTATTTTGGCTTATGGGTCCTACAGAGATTCCCTAAAAACAGGGGAGTTGTGGCATCTCTGGGAACAGTAAGCTTAGTGATGGCATCTTCAAGTGCATGCAGAAAATAGAGGGTAGACCGGAAGTGGGGTGAGGTTAGAAACTCACCCTCAGTAATGTACTTCTTCCCACAAGGCTCGAAGACCTAGAAGTCCCATAACCTTCCCAAACGGCTCCACAAAGTGAGCCTGTGGGGGGCATTTCTAATCCAAACCACAATAGTACCCAACATTCAAACCTTAGTGTATGTTCCTCAATGGGTAAAAGAACTTCTGAATGCCTTCTGTTTTGAGAATTCTTGCCTTAAGCAACAGCATACAATTTAGTTGGTGAAGAAGAAGTAGAGAACAAAAATGTGGCCTTCAATAAGAAGCGAGGTTCTTGTCTTAGGAAGAGTAGAGACACACAAGTTGGAGAGCCTATGACTACAAAAAGAAATTGACTAGGCAAGGTTCAGGTTTCAAGAAGAACAAAGATTGTATTCGCTCAGGGGAAAAAGAGCCAAGGAAGTTGACACTCATTAGATTTTTTAGTCCTTCTTATGCAACTGTAAACTCTTCAAGGCCTCTAAAGATAACTGAAAGACCAGCTCATTCTCATTCAATTGTTCCTAGGAAAAATACTGCTATTATATGATTGCTGTCTCAGTGTGTTAAGTTGAAGCAGCAAAGTATGTTTTCCTGTTACATTTAGGAAAAAAATAGACCTATTCTCTGAAATGCTGATTCTAGCCTCTGCCCTCCAACACTGATATCAAGGTATTCTCTTCAAGGTAGGACTTGGGATTTGAGGTTTTCCCAGAGAAAATCAGCTATGACTTCTTGTGCTTTCTTTGCTAAATTCTTAAGCACCTTTTTTTTCAGTTGTGTTAATTTCACTAACATTGGGAATGGGATGGCTGTTCGTAGGAATCCAAGTCAATATCCCATCCCTCATGTGATATGATTTCAAGCTTGTCAATTCTTTTTTATGCTATTAGAAGTTTCTATTTATTCATAACCTGTTCATTTCCACAAAGTATCTGAGACATTCATAAGAAATATGCCATAAAATAGAAGGCTAACTATATACCCAGGATCAGACAAAGGAATTAGGAATTGACTAGAATTAAGTTGTAGCATTTGCACTTTAACTATCATTATCAAAGAGGAGCCACAGATTTCACACTAACATGGGAAATCATCAGCATAACTTGATACAGAATTACAGTGTCCATAAAAATAAACATAGCTATGTCATGAAGAAGATTTTTTATTCTCATGAATTTTTAAAAGAAAATAGCAGAAAGTGTGTTTACTATGCCTAGAGTCATGTCTCCAACTCCTGCAAGGTGAGTGCAGTCTTCGCTGATGGGGATGTAAAACAATGGGAAATTATCACTTTAGGGAAAGTCAAGTTTTCCTTCCCATATAAGACTGAGAAAAAATGTCTTAATGTGTCTTTGTAGGTGGGGTTCTGAACGAAGCAGCCGACAATATCCCTGAAGCATATGCAATAAAAGTTTCCAAATAGCTGTTTCTTCTGAGGTCCCTCCAAGGCATCAAAGGGCAAATCAACCACATGCATCCAGATGGAGAAAATCCTGTGGGGCCCAAAATAATACGGTCTCCATTTATGAACTCATCAAATCTTAAGGTTACCTAAAGCATTGAGACCCATTCATGAGCAAGATATTGTGCTCATGAGTACAGGCCCCTAGCAACCAACCTCAGTCATAATAGCAGTCAGGTCTGGAGCCTTTGTACTGTGGCAGGCACTTGAATGCATTGCTTTATTTAATCCTTGTAATAACTGCAAGGTACTTGCATTGGTGAGGGCTCCTTTGTTTGCATGTGACTCAAGCTACCTTAGGCAGAGAAAAAGAGAGGACTTATTGCATGGTAAGATAGGAAAAGCACACAGCTAACAGGAACTTTGGGTTCTGTGTATCAATACCCATAAATGCTATCTTCTTTCATAAGTGGGAACGGCGGTATATCATAGACTCAGGCTAATACAGGAAGTTAGAAAGATGCTCTTTCTCACATCTCCCCACCAGTTCCAGAACTGAACTGGGGAAGAAACACTATAAGTTTGTAGCCACCCATACCTTGACAGAAGAAGCTTCCTTGGCCCTTACAGTCAGCAGGAGCATGGATTATGGACTTCCACTTGGTTTCTAGAAACAGCATAGACCACACGGTCTCTGGCGTCAGCATGTGCCATGAACCTCAGCATGGTCCCTAGAGATAACTTTTTGTATTATTTTTGTCTAGAAAAAAATTTTTGTTTTATATACCAACCCCAGTTCCCCCTCCCTCCCCTCTCCCCCCAAACTCCCTCATTCCACTCTGTATGCACTCCTCAGTGGGGGTAAGGCCTCCCTTGGGAAGGCAACAAAGTCTGGCATACCGAGTTGAGGCCAACCAAGCCAATGCTCCAGTATCAAGACTGAGCAAGGTGTTCCATCATAACGGAAGGACTCCGGAAAGGTGTTCCATCATAACGGAAGGACTCCGGAAAGGTGTTCCATCATAACGGAAGGACTCCGGAAAGGTGTTCCATCATAACGGAAGGACTCCGGAAAGGTGTTCCATCATACGGAAGGACTCCGGAAAGGTGTTCCATCATAACGGAAGGACTCCGGAAAGGTGTTCCATCATACGGAAGGACTCCGGAAAGGTGTTCCATCATAACGGAAGGACTCCGGAAAGCCTGCTCATGCACCCAGGAAAAGTCCTAACCCCACTGCCAGTCAATGTTCCCCCCTAGAAGATCAAGCTACATAGCTGTCACCACATTCAGAGAGCCTACTTCAGTTCCATGCAGGTTCCTCAGCTGTCAGTCCATAGTGTGTGAGCTCCCACTAACTCGGGTCAGCTGTCCCTGTGGTTTTCCGGATCATGATCTTCACACACACACACACACACACACACACACACACACACACACACACACACACACACACACACGCCTCATATGATCCCTCCTCCCTCTCTTCAACTGAACTCCAGGAGCTCAGGCCAGGGCTTGGCTGTGGCCACTGCATCTGCTTCCATCACTTACTAGATGTAGGTTCTATGATGACAATTAGGGTAGTCACTAATTTGATCACAGAGGTAAGCCAGTTCAGGTAGCCTCTCCACTATGGCTAGGAGTCTCACCTAGGGTCATCTTTGTGGATTCCTGGGAATTTCTCTGGCACCGGGTTTCTCCCTAACCCCATAATGGCTCCCTCTTTCATTGTGGAGATATTTTTTTTCAACCAACAAGTATAAAATAAGAAATTTTTTAAATACTTAAGTCGTATTATAGAAAGCTTTCAGAAAATTATTTTGCTAAAGAAAAAAGTACTTTCATTTGAGTTCATGAAGCAACAAAACGAGGTTAACCCCTGCCATCCATTTTCATCCTACATACAGTCATTTTTTTTATTCTTTCTTAGTTCTGCAGGTAAGCACATACTATTTAAGGAAAGGTAAAAGCACAGAGATAAATGGCTGTGTCAAGTCTTGAGTTCCTAGAACAGAAAAGGCTGGAGTAGTGGTTCTCACCCTGTGGGTCACCACCCCTTTGGGGGTTTCAAATGACTTTTTCACGGGGGTCACCTAAGACCATTGGAAAACACAGATATTTTATATTACAATTTGTAGCAGTGGCAAAGTTACAGTTATGACGCAGCAATGAAAATAATTTTATGGTCGGGGTCACCACAACATGAGGAACTGTATCAAAGGGTCACAGCATCAGGTAGGTCCGGAGCCACTGGCCTAATGGACTCTTATCCATGAGGCAGAAGCCGCACCTTGGGTCAGGAATTAGCATCTCATCAGAGACACTTTACTTCCCCGGAGCAACAGTGACGTCTTTTTAAAACTTTTTACAACTTAATTAAAATATACCTACATCTTTTTCTACCGCCCTCTTCTTCCTCCTATTCCTTCAAGTTGTCCTCTGACCTGTGCGCTCACGCCTTGGCAGATACTAAAGCACACACAATAAATGCAGGTAACTTTTGAAAGTTAAAAAAAAAAAGGCAACATGCTTCGGAAGAAATGCGAGACGATAATACAGCAGAAACTTGTACCTCCAGCCACAACGCAGCAAAACAACTGAACCCTGGCTCAGCAAAACTAACTACACGGGACTGGGCAAAACGGTTAAACCTTGACTCAGCAAAATGTAGGGGAAAGGTAGGTGCATAAATGTACATGCATGATACTAAAGTCGCCAGGCAACGCCTGAGATACTGGGAAAGCAGAGTCCTAGTTCCCTTCATCTATCAATGTAATGCATCTGAAAGCCATCTAAGAGGAAAGCCTCTGTGGAAACTCTGCCCAGATCAGATTGGCCTGGGGAGGGCAGGGGTGGCATGATAGTTAATTGATGTGGGAGGAGCCAACCCGCTATGGGAGGCACCCTTCCCTGGGCACGTAGTTCTTGGCTATGCAAGAAAGCTATGTAAAAAGAAGCAGGAAGCAGTGTTAGCCAATGGTTTCTCTTTTTTTTTGTTGTTTTGTTTTTGTTGTTCTTCTTCTTCTTTGTTGGTTGTTTTTGGTTTTTGGCTTTTTCAAGACAGGGTTTCTCTGTATTGCTTTGAAGGCTGTCCTGGAACTAGCTCTTGTAGACCAGGCTGGCCTCGAATTCACAGAGATCCGCCTGCCTCTGCCTCCCGAGTGCCGGGATTAAAGGCGTGAGCCACCAACGCCCAGCTCCAATGGTTTCTATTTTAAGTGCCTGTTTGAGTTCCGGTCCTAACTTCACTTAAGGACGAAGATGAACTGTAAAATGTATGTCAACAAAAAGCACATATGAAAATGCACCCTTACCTAAAAGAAAGCAAAGATCATTTATTTGTCGCCGGTGACCCTGCTCGGACACCTCTTGGGGGCAAGGTTGAGAATATGCAACACTAAGGATTCAGGCACCAGAAGTCGGTGAGTGGCAGAGCAGGCTGCAGACTCCTTATTAAACATTAGGCCCTGCCTTTATACCCCTTCCCAAGGTGCCGTTGGCTCAGGCGGCTGACTCTGCTGTGTTGTCCTTTCCTCATTGGTGCCTCTGGGTGTGGCTGCAAGCTTGGAGGCGTGTCTCAGGGAGGAAGTGCCTGGTGCGCATGTGCATTCGGGCTAGCCTGGGGAAGGAGACAGGGTGACTGGGGCTTGGGTAGGCGGACTGCAGTTCCTCTTACAATCATTTGTCTAAACCACAGCGCCTCATAAGGCACGATGACAATGCTTACTTTATCTGTAAGGCAGAAGTGCAGAGGCACTGGTCTGAGCTGAACTTCTACATCCCTTAAAGCAAGTTCTTTGCTTCCTTAATCTACCAGCTTGCCCTTTGCCCTCCCACCCCCATAAAGACGGTCAACATTTCTTAGTAGGTGGCCTTGAAACTCTAACATCATCTTTTGACAACCCCTAACACAGTGTAAGCTACATAGAAATAGAGCCTTGCTTCGATCAATATTTGGATGGAAGGCAAAAAACTGAAAAGAAATTTTGAGCATAGCAAGGAATCCTGTTGTTCACTCGGGAGGTTTCACTTTTGACTGTGAGTCAATAATACCACTTGCCCGGTAGAGAAGGAGGGGCTGTTTGGAAAATATTGTTCCTGTCCTGTACAATGCACAGAAAGCCCAATTTCTAAGATCTGGTGTGTTGCACTACATGAAATAAGAAGGATAAATGCTACCCAATCTCACTTACGTGAAGCAGCTAAAATAAAAGCCAGACTCAAGGTGAAATAGATGGAGTCTGAAAGGAAGGGAAATTAGGAGATGCTGTTTATTCAATGAGCACAAACTTCCAGCGACATAAGATTGAGACATTTTGGGGCTATTAGGCCACACAATGCCAGTAATTAATGAAACTATACTGATGGAGGATATCCTTCTGTATATATGTTTCTCTTATTGTTTGATGAATAAAACACTGATTGGCCAGTAGAGGCAGGAAGATAGGCGGGACTAGGAGATGAGGAGTTGCCATGTAAACACTGGGAAGATAGGACTCACCAGGTGCTCTCTGGTAAGATAAGGCCATGTAGAAATACATGGATTAGTATTTATGGATTAATAATTAAGAGAGAGCTAACCAGTAAGAAGCCCTAGCCATTGGCCAACAGTTTTATAGTTAATAGAGCATCCATGTGTTTATTTGGAGCTGAAGCAGCTGTAGGTCCAAGTAGAACAGAAACCTCCATCTTCACTACACTGCAAACTAAAATACTCAATAGAATAGAACACACGGAAGGTGTTCTTGCCCTATCCCTAAAAGGATGTCAGGGAAAAGAGGAAACGTTAAAGGTGATACAATGCTTATTATCTTGACTATGATACTGTTTTCACAGGTGTATGAACATTCAAATTCAACTACTTATATATATTAAATATACAGACTTTTGCACACCAGCTATTTCTTTTTTTTTTTTTTTTTTTTGGTTTTTCGAGACAGGGTTTCTCTGTATTGTTTTGGAGGCTGTCCTGGAACTAGCTCGGTAGACCAGGCTGGCCTCGAACTCACAGAGATCCACCTGCCTCTGCCTCCAGAGTGCCGGGATTAAAGGCGTGCGCCACCAACGCCCGGCTTACACCAGCTATTTCTCAATAAAGTGGTTTGTAAAAAAGAAACCCTATAGTATTTTCAGTTCAAATAGAATGGTTTTAGGGTGAGGTTCAACTCAGGTAATAATGTCTTGTAGTAATTATCAACTTGACACACCCTTGGATCATCTAAGAAGAGAGTGAACAAGTGATTGTCTAGATTAAGTTAGGTTCTGGACATGTCTGTGGGGCATACCTCGATTGCCTTCATTGATGTTGGGAGACCCAAGCTGAAAGTGGGCGGCACTATATCAAAGTTTGGACAGCAGGAAAAATGAGCTAAGTACTAAGCGTGCATGCATTCATTTCTCTCAGCACTTGACTGTGGAAGTGATGTGGCCAGCTGTCTCCAGTTTCTGCCAGTGTGACTTCCTTCCAGTGATGGACCATCACAAAGAATTGTGAGCAAAAATAAGCCCCTTCTCACCTAAGTTGCTGGTTGCCAGTGTATATCATCACAGCAACGGAAAAGAAAGTAGAACAGGTAATTATATTCCGATCCAAATTTCCAATGATTTACAATTTACTCAAACAGGCATGCTTACACTGACTGCTATAAAATACAGTGTTCAACTAAACCAAGGGAATGATCAAATAGATATTTTACACTTTAAAAACCTGTCCGAAGGAAACTTGGTATGCAGTCTAAGATACAATGCCTAGTTTGGTCTGGTCTTCTTACAGTTTCTAGTCTAGTTAAATAATGTTATTGAAATATAATAACTATACCATTTGGTGTACCCATTTCAAATACATAATTCAATACTTTTAATAAATGTTCAGGTAGGTAAGTGATCTTCAGACACTCACACTCCCTCCTCTCCTATTAATCATTCCCCAAGTATCAGCCCTACCTTTGTAGTAGATCACATGTGTGGCCTCCCCTTCCTCTCTGCAGCCATCTCCAAAATATCACACAGATCTCCTACAACCTCCTTCACTGCTCTAT